GGCAGAGGATCCCCCATCCTGGTTAAGGCCCCTCTTGGTGAGAAAGCCTCATGCTTGCCCACCAAAAGTCTCTATCATGGTCACCCAGGAAGGTTTGAAGTCCTCCAGTCGCAGAGGCGGGGATCCTAGTGCTCCGCCAGTTCTCCCGGAGAGCTCCTCCCTCTACCCCCCTTTACCTGTTGAGCAGCTGCCACCTTATGCAGCTCCATGAGGTGGAGAAGCCGAGGCGGCCTATGGAGGGGGGGATGGAGCCGGGGGTCCCCATGGGAATCCAGTGGTTGCCCCCTCCCCAGACTCCTCTACAGGAGAGGATAGACGACCTGGGGAGGCGGGAGGGATGCAGTTAAGGTCTCACGGAAACAGGGACCAAGTGGGGAAAGCTCCATCCTCCACCACAGGAGGAGCCACGCCAGTTCTGTTGGTCCAAATGAAGTGGAAGGCGGCAAGGCCCTGCTGGGGAATTTCTACTACAGTCATGAGCCCTGGTGGTTTCACAAGATAAGGAAGTAAAATGTAGAAAAAAATCAGGGCAAGAAAAACATGTTTTTAAAAGGCACCTGGTTATTTCAAACTGGGGCAGGGGTACACTTAAGGCTTGGCCTCCAACAGGGTCTACCGCCAAACCCTAATGACCGGTCTCCAAGCGGCCGCAAGACGGTCCACTAACCTGGCTAAGGTAAAAACAATTGTTCAGGGAGAAACCGAAAGCCCAGCCACGTATCTGGAAAGGCTATTTGATGCCTATAGGCAATACACCCCTATAAACCCAGAGGCAGAGGAACACAGGTCAGCTGTAGTCCTCTCTTTTATTAACCAGGCAGCCTCTGATATCAGGAGAAAACTCCATAAGCGGGACGATCTGGGAGAGATTTCTATTAGAGAGATACTGCAACAAGCAGAGAAGGTCTTTAATGCTAAGGAGTCGCTGGAGGACAGGGAGGAGAGGCTAAGGAAGGAGGAATGGGAGATGCAGGATAAAAATAGGAAAGAGGACAGAGAGTTTCAAAGAAAAGAGAACAAGAAGCAGAGGGAGGAGATGGCCAGAATATTCCTGGCCGGAGTGAAAGGGAGCCCTGAGCCGCTCCAGAGAGCAGGACCCCGCCCATCTAAACTAGGGCGGGAACAGTGTGCCCTGTGCAAAAGATACGGGCATTGGAAGAGAGAGTGCCCGCAAAGAAGAGGGAGACAAGGAGGAGGGAGCCCTATTAGGACCCTCCACCTGGGAGAAGGAAACTGATGAGGACGGGGCTCGGCACCCCTCCCCGAGTCTTGGGTAACTCTGTGTGTGGAGGGGACTCCCGCTGGGTTCATGGTAGATACTGGGGCGCAGTATTCAGTTCTCAATCAAGCTCACGGTCCTCTAAAGCCAGGATGCACAAGCATAGTCCAAGGAGCTACAGGAACTAAGAGGTGCGCCTGGACCACCAACAGGAAAGCGGACTTGGGAAGGCATCAGGTTTCTCAATCCTTCCTGGTTGTGCCTGAGAGTCCCGCACCTTTGTTGGGTAGAGACTTACTCATGAAGATTGGGGCACGTATCCATTTTGAGCCTAAAGGGATAAAAGTCATGGACTCAGAAGGACAGCCCCTGCAGCCAGTACATGTGTTGTCTTTATCTCTGGCTGATGAATATCGCCTATTCCTGGTGGCTCTAGAAAAGGGGGGCCAGGGAGACATGAGCTCCTGGTTGCAGGAGTTCCCTTCCGCCTGGGCTGAAACCGGGGGAGTCGGCCTCGCTAAGCACCTGCCCCCGGTTGTGGTCCAACTCAAAGCCATGGCCCTGCCCATTCGGGTCCAGCAGTACCCGATGCCAGAAGAGGCTATGAAGGGAATAGCACCTCACATCCATAGACTGCTAGAAGTAAAAAATCCTTAAACCGTGCCAGTCAGCATAGAATACACCCCTGCTTCCTGTAAGAAAGCCTGGCAGTGGAGATTACAGACCAGTGAGGATTTGCGAAGGGTAAATGAAAGGGTAGAGGACATTCACCCCACAGTGCCCAATTCATACACCCTACTTAGCCACCTGCCACTGTCTCATGTGTGGTATACCACCCTAGACTTGAAGGATGCTTTCTTCAGTGTCCCTCTCACTGAAGTCAGTCAGCCCTTGTTTGCCTTTGAGTGGCAAGAACCAGGAGGGGGGAAGACAGGGCAGCTCACCTGGACCAGACTGCCACAAGGCTTTAAGAACTCTCCCACCTTGTTCAATGAGGAACTAAGCCAAGATCTGGAGCCCTTCCGCAAAAGGCACCCCCATGTGACTCTGC